CGTTCCCGCGACCCGCGAGGGAGGTGCGGGCCAGGAGCGCAGCAGCTGCGAGGAGCACAAGAGCCATGGCGCCAAAGGGAGCCGAGCGGCAAAGCTTGAGCCTCTCGGCGAAAGCCAGCGATTTCTTTGTGACCCAAGCTTGAGCCAAAATGGCTACGGAGGGGTTCCCCTTCTACATAACATGATCACCACACCCCTTTGTACCATACCCCGTTCCTACCTCCAGAGGCACCCCTGCCCGACGATCCCGCGGGGGCCAGGAGGCCGGGCCCGCGGGGGCCCGAGAGTCATGTCGGGCGTAACCCCCTACAGGGGGATCTTCGACGGAAAAATAAGAATACCCCAAACATACTCCAAAAAGGTAAAAAGAACTATGCAGAAAACAGCCCCCAGAGACTCTTGTTGGAGTCTTTTTTTGCGTTTTTTGGGGGGTATGATTTGCTTTTTCGTTGGAAATCCCCATGTATCGGGGGCGGCCAAGAGGGGGGCGCCCAAGAGGGGGGGGTGCAAATCCGCCGGCCCCCTTGTGGGGCCACCAGGCTGTAGGAGCGGGATTCGCAGTTTCCTGTACCAGTTGTAGCTTGTAGTTTCCAGTGTTACAATTCTGCTTCTTGCTGGTTGCTGTAACTAATTGATTGACCGCGCGAGGGGGGGGGAGGCCCAAACCACATATTTAGCACCTCCTGGGCGCGTTGTCTGAATTGCTGGGGGGGCTCGAAATCCACACCCCTCACACAGATCGGCGGGGTCAGGGTCCAAAAACACAGGGGATTTGCCACATTTCTGAAATTCGGTGCCACCCCTCACGCAGATCCGCGGGGTCAGGGTCCAAAAACACAGGGATTTGCCACATTTCTGAAATTCGGTGCCACCCCTCACGCAGATCCGCGGGGTCAGGGTCCAAAAACACAAGGGATTTGCCACATTTCTGAAATTCGGTGCCACCCCTCACGCAGATCCGCGGGGTCAGGGTCCAAAAACACAGGGGATTTGCCACATTTCTGAAATTCGGTGCCACCCCTCACGCAGATCCGCGGGGTCAGGGTCCAAAAACACAGGGATTTGCCACATTTCTGAAATTCGGTGCCACCCCTCACGCAGATCCGCGGGGTCAGGGTCCAAAAACACAGGGGATTTGCCACATTTCTGAAATTCGGTGCCACCCCTCACGCAGATCCGCGGGGTCAGGGTCCAAAAACACATGGGATTTGCCACATTTCTGAAATTCGGTGCCACCCCTCACGCAGATCCGCGGGGTCAGGGTCCAAAAACACATGGGATTTGCCACATTTCTGAAATTCGGTGCCACCCCTCACGCAGATCCGCGGGGTCAGGGTCCAAAAACACATGGGATTTGCCACATTTCTGAAATTCGGCGCCACCCCTTACGCAGATCCGCGGGGTCAGGGTCCAAAAACACAGGGGATTTGCCACATTTCTGAAATTCGGTGCCACCCTTCACGCACATCCATCGCAAGGCGTGGTAACCCAAACTGCGAGAACTCCCTCGGCCCTTTAATCGCAAGGTGTGGTAACCAAGCCCGTAAACCATACACGTCTTACCCATCGCCAGGTGTGGTAACCCCTCTTGTGATCAGTTGGTTTTGCTGATTGCGAATCGGCTTCGCATAAAGTTTCGATACTGCTTCACGACAGCGGCACGGCCTCATGACTGAGCTCTTCCATGGCCCATTCTCCGAGAGAGGGGGCCGGCGGCAGGGGGCGAAGCCCTTACGGATCATGGCCGGCGGCATGTGCGCGGCCCATGAGGGGGGCCAGGGACGTAATGAAATAAGAAGAGGCGCCATGGAAGCTGGGGAAATATCACGGCCCACGCCATGATATCCCCCCCCCTAGTCCTCACCCCCCTCTTTGCCGCCCCCGAGTAGGGGGACGGGCCCGACTCAACCCGAGAGCCCGGAAGGGGCCGCCACAGGCCGGGCCCGCTCTCTGGCCGGGCCGCCGACGGGTCCTCCCTCTCCTCCTCGCCCTCCTCCCTCTTCCCCTCGTCCTCCTCCTCCTCCTCCTCCTCCTCGTCCTCCTCCTCCTCCTCCTCGTCCTCCTCCTCCTCCTCCTCCTCGCTCTCCTCCTCGTCCTCCTCCCTCTCCTCCTCCTCCTCCTCCTCCTCCTCCTCCTCCTCCTCGTCCTCGTCCTCGTCCTCCTTTTCTGGGGAATCGACGATTCATTGTGTCTGTGTCGTTCTCCCTCCTGGAAGAGGGGGCGCAGCCCACCATGTCCCGAGGCCTGCGCGCGGACGAGGGGGTGCCAGGGCAGGGGACGCCTTGAACGAAGAAGAAGAAGAAGAAGAAGAAGAAGAAGAAGAAAAAGAAGTGATCGTGAAAACTGGGAGATTGCATGGAACTCTTGAGATTAGCTAGCAATGTCTACGGGTCACTTCCGTCACGGCCCATTGAGTTCTGCCGGCAGGTTGCGGGCGGGAGGGTGGGACTGCCTCTCGAACTTTAGAGGTGGCTCGATAATTGAAGCCAATATCGGCACACCCGTAGACATCACCAACATCGAAGCCATCGACACCCGGCGACGATGGGCGACAGCGAACGACGCGGACGGACGACCACGTGGACGACAACGACGACGACGACGACGACAACGACAAGGAAGACTGTCGGCGACGGCGACGGACGACGACGAGCAACGCTGACGACGTTTTCCGCTGAGGCCCCTGGAGGTATCCAGAATTCTCGGGAGTCTCCAGGGGTCTCTGGAGGCCTGCATAGGAGCCAGGGCGCCTCTCAGGGCCTGGTAGCGCTCGAAGACACCTACAACCTTGATCCTTGGATCCTCGATCCTCGAACGACGACGGCGGCGACGACGACGGGGAACCACGAGGACGGCGACGGACAACAAGAATGACAACGACGAGGATGACGACCTGTCGAATTCTGCACCACGCGCGGCCTGCTCCTTCGACCTGAGTCTCTCGCTCGCGCTGGCGTCGAGGCCAGCCCACCACTTGGCGTGCTCCTGCGCACCGTATTTCGCTAACTTCCTCCTGTGCCTTCTCTCCTCCTCTCTTCCAACCTCCCTCACGGCCCCATTCTCTATCGCATTCCACGCCTTCATCCATCATCCCTCGTTCCCTCTCGCTCCCTCTTTCCTCCTCCTGGTGGCGCGCAGAAAGGGGTAGGGGAAGGGCGGAGCCCCTGAGAAGGAAACTGCTTCTTAGAAGACGCTCGCCTTCCATCTGAAGATAAAGCCGGCGCCTTCTGAGAAGCAGGCCGCTTCTGGTGTTTGTCCCATCTCCCAAAAACCCCTTTACTACGCGCGGTTGTTTCGCATCCTCCCTGCATGCGTTCCGCCCTTCTCCGCCATTCACTTTCTCCTTCCCTCGTTCTCTCCAACTCCACCTCCTATTTCCACCATTTCTCCTCCACCTCGTCCTCGGGAAGGTCGCTCGGCACTGCAAACGCGGGCAGGTTTACACCAACTCTGGTGGCTGGAGAAGGAGTGACGGCGGAGGGGGTGGTGGGAGGCAACGGGGGAGGGATAATGAGGCGGCGGCAGTACGTAGGAGGAGGAGGATCGAAGAGGGCGAGGTGAAATCAGGGTGATGAGGGAGTAGGAGAGAGGAGGGACATGTGGAGGAAGGCCAGTGTCAACCCAAGACGACGCATCAACGATGTTGCAATAAACCTTCCCTCCACGTTCCCTCGTCGAGCAATCCTCAGTCAGTGGAGCTGCGCCGCACGGCACATCGGCTGAACAAAACAGCCCTAACTACAGCAATTATGATAATTCAGTTTTCGGAATACCTGTCTGGGCCATGTTTTTTTCCACCAAGCTCTATTGTAGACCGGGCTGGGTTCAGCGCGCATATATGTCCAGAGGCCGACAATGCTTGCAAATCGTCCCCATGTCAATATGGGGCGGCCTCGTACTCTTTTCCCGTGTGAGACAAGAATATCACGGCCCCCCAAATGCAGACGCAGCATCGAAAGTTGATGAGTCCGGCAGGCTACCACTCTTCCCACACAAGTCAAGCTGACTCAAAAGAGCGTGGCTGTTCCAGCGGTGCTACCTTGCTTGTGGCCGCACGCTGCCGTTGGATACGTGGGATATCATAAAACGACGAAGCTTCAAACTTTGGCGGTGAGCGCGGGGGGGAAGTGAGAAGGGGCGGGCCTTCTCAGAAAACTCGGAATTCCCAGGCCTCCTGAAAAGTGTTGTAAGCCTTCCCCGAATACAGAAAACAAGAAAAACTTATCAGAAGGCGCGAGGAGTTCTGAGAAGTCCGACCGCCTTTGGAGAAAAACACATCCTTTCCTTCGAACTTCCCCCCTCGCCCGCCGCCGAACAAATCCCACGACAAAAACAAACATTGTGCCTGGAACGCGTCAAGGTTATCCCTTTCAGCTATTCCGCAGGCACACAGCCTCGATGCTGCGCGCAAGCTTGGCGATCGCACGCACGTTGAACAAGAAGAGCGGTGTATCTGATTGGTTTTCACGTGGCCCCACGCTAGGCTTAAAGCCGGGCCTGCCCCCCTACATGGGGATTGTGGAGAAAATATAAAAGGATTGCCCACGCGTACTCACAATTGTCAAACATATGTTTTAAAAAGTCCCCAGACGATTGCTGGACTACTTTTGAATATTCCTCCTGTAATGGAACAGGCCCGACTTCACACTGGGCTTGGTTTATCCAAGGCTGCCCTGGCCTCTCCGAGTCCGCGTGCCAGAGGCGCGACCGCATTGGAGTCCACATCCAGTCGGCCTGCGAAATGCCAAGCGGAGCCCGTCGGCTTGATTGGGCCCTAAATGGATGCGAGCACTGGCGCGGCATGACGAACATATAAAGGCACTGGTTTCCCCAGTTGATCCCTCGGCCGCACCTCCACGCGCGGTGAACGAGCGCGCGCGTGAGAGGCTGCAAGCGAGGGGTAACGTCCGAAATCAAGACCACGCCGCCCGCGCGCGCTGCGTCTAAGCACGTGCGCCCTTCAGTAAGCGGACGGAGCTCTTGCGCCACCGCCCCCCTCGATACCTGTCATCAACGCGGACAGAGTGATGCCGTGCGAGATATAGGGCTCCGAGGGCACCCGTGCGCGATGCTAGATTGCCGGTCGAAGAAGCCAGACTCCCCGCGCGCGCCGCGCACCTCCACGGCCTCTTCTCCGCACACCACTGCAATGTGCAATTTCGGCCGACTCATCCGGCATGACAGACCGGGACTGGGCGGTGCCCGAAGCTGTCGGGTCCACTCGATCAGAGGCCTCCGACGAGTCAAGCAACCGCGCGGACAGACCTACTTCTTTGGTCGCGCGCCCCCTCTTCGTCAGCCTCTGAACCAAACAAATCGCTAGCTCCACGGCGTTAGCTGAATCCGAAGTGCGTCGGTCGCAGGCGCTCCTCAACTCCCCCCTGCCGCCGCGCGGTGCAAGGAGAGGGCGGCGATGACCTTGCACCCGACGGACAGAAGCAGACTGGGCCAGTGGCTCTCCGACAGAAACGGACTGGGCCGACAGTTCCATGTTCGAACACAATGGACAGAGTGAAATGCCCCAACGGCTTTGGCATTTTCACTCACCCCCCACGCGCGCGGCCAATCTCAAGCGAAACATCGCGGGCGCCAGCGCGAGACCGCAATGCTGTCCAAAGCTCTGGGGTAACGCCGTCAGGCCCTGCAGTCCGCCCCACCCGCCATCTTGCCGGCGCCGCAGACAGAGTTCCCCGCTGGGGAAATCCCCCTTCCGCCGAGGCAGCGCAAGGGCAAGTCTGTCCCCGCGCGGGCAGGCTCTGCAAGGCGGCGGAGGTCTGCGCCGCGGCGGCATGCTTTGCCGCGGTCCCAGCGCGTTCATCGCCGTCGACAAAGATGCCCAGACGCGCCCTCTCTTGTCGCTTGAGACCTGTCCGTTCGGACTGCCCGGGCTTCTCGCATTCCCATGCGACGGCGCGTCGTCGCGCCGCGCCCCCGGCCCGTCTTTGCAGATGCCTTGATCTGACGCGGCAACTAAACATCAATCGATCTGGCCGCCCTCGAATGCTTGGCTGTTTTTTTCTATCGGGCTCAACGTGGGCAATCCCGCCAGCGGCCCGCTTGCTTGTGCAAGGCGCCTGTCAAGACAGACAACTGCCGCCGCAGCCGTGCTGGGAGCGGCCCCGGCAGCCACTTCGTCCGACGCCCTGCGCCGACAGCCGCGCCGTCACAGGGCCGGCGCAGAAACCCCGATCCGAAATCCGTCTCCGCGCTTTCTTGGGCGAGCGAGGCCAGATCCAGGGCGTGCCGCGCAGGCCGTGGGAAAGTCTTCCAAACCTTCGCGGCGCGCCTAGCCACGGCGAGGACGTGGCGCGAAGATGAACCGATCAATCGCCTCGCCCTGACATCGCACACCGTGCCCTGCCACCTGCGCCCCGCAATCAAGTGGCCCACCTCGGCGCAATTCTGCGGCGTGAGCTCCGAGACCGGCGTGGCCCAGAGGTCGCAATGCGTCGCATTCTGGTCACGCGGCATGTCCAGGAACGCGTCGGCAAGAATCGTGCGGGGCGCAATGCAAGCTTCGACGAGAAGATTCGAATTGCTGTCTGCGTCGGTCGCCCTGCGCCGAGGCCCCCGGGCGCGTGGCCCGAAAACATCTGCATGCTCGGGTGCCGACCCAAGACGTGCATTCAATTGACCGAAAACTCGCACAGGTCCACGAGGCTTGGTGCGACAATCTCAAGCGGGAAATCGCAATGCACATCGAATGCAAGACCATTTTGCGGACAGCGCGATGCAGTGATAAACGTGGACTCGCCTGGGACTCGAAACGTCACGGCCGGGCAAACCGGGCAAACCGGGCAACAGCGAAAACCGCTCCTGCGCGCTCGCGGACTTTCCGGGCGTCACCAAGCAAAGTAACTAAACGCCCTACGTGTCTCAAGTCGGGGGCCGTGCGCAGTAGCCTCCAGGAAACAAGGCGCTGCGATCCATCTCGCCTCCATGGCAATTGCCAGCTGCTTTACTTCTGCGCAGTCGCTGTCCAGCCGCATGTCTTCCATGCTCCACGAGGCAACGGACATGACATCACAGGGCAACTGTCGATTAATGCTTGTGACATGTACAGCGCGCGCTTCCTGCTGAAAAAAAGGATGACCAAGGACAGGTGCGTTATGACAGCGGTGATGATGTCGATGATGACTGCAAGGTTGCGAAGCGTGCGATGAAACGCCCGGCTCGGATCTGCGTGGCAAGGAGTCGTCAAAGCCTCCATGCCCAAGACTGGAGCCATGGTGCTGGTCGCCGATGCGCCACGCAAGTCCCTGGTGGGGTTTGTCTCCCTTTCCCTCCTTTCCCTTCGGGGCCGTTTTTGCCGATCCTTTTGGCTGGGGAACGCTGCGGTATCTCTTGCAATTTCTTGGCCATCTCCAGGAATTGCGAGGAATCAGCCTGGGGTCCAGTCTTCCCAGCAAGTGCTGTACTCCACCTTCAGCGCGCCAGCGTCGATGGCCACCTGCAGCGCGACCCCGGTGCCGACCCACACCTTGCCCTCCTCAGGGTCGGCCCGTACGCTGGTGCTGGCGTAACCCCATTCCTTCAACATCCGCGTAGATCCAGAAACGAACGCGGTTACGATCCCCTCCGGTATTGCTTTATCCAAATTGACCCGGGCCGTGTCGCCGCCCTCTTTAAACCCTTCTTGCGGATCGTGTTCACTGCGTTGTTCCTGCCGGCTTGGCCGCATACGTTTGCAAAAGTCAAACCGTGGAGCTCCATTTCGTCTGAACCGCACAGGCCTCCCAGAGGTTGTTTTTCAACAAATCCGGGGCTTCATCGAGCGCGGACAGCGACTGTAGCCCGCCAGTCGCCACCGTCAACTCTCTAGTGTCGTAGCTGTTCGCTCCTTTGGTCGTGTTGTGGATCGGGGCTTTCCCTTTTGAGCTGCCCGACCTCCAACTCCAAGGTCTTGATCTGATCACAGATTTCACTGTTGACACTGAATGGCTATGTTGGTGCATGTATGGGCTCAACAATTCCTCCAAGCTCATCAGGCAAAATTCGATGTCCTCAATGTGTTCTTCCATTGTGCCGAACCTTGTGCCAAAAGGCCTCGCTCATCTCTGCGAAACACCGCTCGATATCATTGATGGTGTCGCGGATCGGTTGCACGTCCACGCGGGACACGTTGGCGATCTGCTCCAGGGGGGGCGGATGCGCGTGTTGCCCATTCCGTTCCTGTTGTACGGGTTATCCTGCTGGTTGATGTGCCTCCGGCGTAGTCGTTGGTGACGAGATTCTACTCGTAGGAATCACAATCGCGTGCACCTTTGCAACGGCATCGGCGTCGCCAATTTCGTTCACTGGGCTGAACCAGCGCCTGCACAAAATGGTTACCCGCCCAACCTTCACTTGTGTGCCTGTGGCGCGGGTGTGGGCGCGAGGAGGGCCACCGCGATCTGCGACGGTCGATGGAGAAGAAATAATCGAAGACATGGCCCTCATAATGGGAAAGTCGGAGTAGTAGGATGTAGGAAAGGCTGCTCTCTCAATGAACGAATGTGGCGACGTTAGCCCGGCTGGCCATTTCAACCAAAATGCGTAAACCATTTGAGCCACTTCATTAACGCCTGCAAAAAAATATGCACACTTCTGGAAACGCTCCGTTGGGAAACAAATGTCTGGGTCCACTCAGTCGCGTCAACACACCACTCCTTGGGCTTGGGCGCAACGGCTCGTCCTTACGGTTGCGTATTGCTTATCTTGAACCGTGCCAGAACACCATTCCTGGGACTTCAACACCGCGAATCAACGTGACTGTCGCGACCTGCCAATCTAAACTGTGCCAGGACACCGCTTCTGGGAAGGCCAAGTACAATAATACAAAAACCACAAAACTGTACTCCACTTTGATAACCGATGACCGCGGCGGTTAGGCGACAACAACACCTTAACAAAAGTACTGGACCTGTTGCAAACTATTCTCACGAATGCGCGCGACGCCAAGGGGAGACCAACATTCAGAAAAGCAACCGCCATCCATCCGTGGAGAGCTCGTGCAAACTTTTGAGACGAACATGCGCGGCACCGACGCGAAAAAACACACTCTGAAAACTACCCGCCCTCCATCCGTGAAGCTCTCGCAAAGCTGTCAACCGCACGTGCGCGGCATTGAAGTGAGATGCGCAGTGCGAAAACCCGCGCCGGGCGAAAGGGGGGGATAGCAAAGGGGGGGGTGAGAATCAACTCACGTAGCTGATTTTCCCGGCGCCTCCCGGCGCCGGAGGCGGCTATGTATCGAGGAATGGGCCCCTCGGTGGGGCCGAAACCAGCTGCACGCAGCATATTTCGTAACCTCCTTTTTCCCAATCTCCCCACTTTCGTCCGGCCCGAAAAAACACCCGCGCTCAATCTGCGAGATTGCCGCGAAGATTAACGCTTCAGGGGTCGAGCCTCGCGAAGAGGCCTCGAGCGAAACGCCCAGGCCCGCCACACCGACACGGGAGGGGCAGCTTATCAGAAGGAGGAGGAGGAGAAGGAGGAGGAGGAGGAGGAGGAGGAGGAGAAGGAGAAGGAGTAGGACGGCGACGAGGAGGACGGCGACGAGGAGGAGGAGAGGAGGACGAGGAGGACGGCGACGACGACGACGAGGAGGAGGGATAAAGGAGGAGGAGGAGCAGGAGGAGGAGGAGGAGGAGGAGGAGGATGACGAGGGATAGAGGAGGAGGAGGAGGAGGAGGAGGAGGAGGAGGAGGAGGAAGAGGACGGCGACGAGGGCGAGGAGGAGGGCGGAGCCGAGCCGCGATGCGGGCGCCGAGACAGCCCGTCGCACTGGCCAGAGGCACGCCCCCGAAGCTGGTCCTGGAGCAGAGGGCCGAGCGCCGCCACGGCGGGCGGCCGAGAGGAAAACACTGAAGGGGCCCCAGGACACACACAACTAAGTACACACAAATAAAAGGATTCCCCATATTTTCCCATCTTTTCTGGGCGTCTGTCTTCCCCCCCACATCCCATATCTTCCCATCTTTCCCTGGGCGTCGAGGATTCATTGTGTCCCTTCCCTCCTGAAGAACACGCGCGTGCCGCGGGTCCTGCTGCCGCTTGGCGGACGTGTCGAGGTCCACCTCGAGCCAGACCTGCAGCGGGCTGACGCGTGTATTCGTCGGTCGTCGCTTGAGGATGGTGTTTACGGAGTGCCGTCGACAGCAACACCACATCACTCACCCTCCGGACCTTCGCCTACGGCTCCTGTCCACGGCGTTCCTTTTCCTGTGCAAGCTCCTCGGCACCGCCTGCACCCCGGCCCGCCCTCCGGCCGCCTGAGGCCCCGCCCACCTGTGCCCTGTCTCCCCAATTAGAGCTGTGCAGCCCGCCTAGTTTTATCGGAAGAGGTTCGCTCTCGCCCCGCAGACCAAAGAAAAATGCATTTGTCGGCCGTCACCGGCGACGATCGAGGATGCTCTCGAGGAGTGCGGGTACGGGGCGTGGCGCGAGGCTCTGGGTTGCGGGTGTGGGGGGGCGGGGTCTGGGGGCCCTGCATTTCCTGCGCAGAGGCCAGAATGGCCTCCAATGATCCACCATGGTTGCGCACTGACAGACCTCAAAAAAGTCCCACCACGACGACGACGCCGACGCCGACGCCGACGCCGACGGCGGCGGGAGGCCAGACGGACACGCCTTCCGAGGAGGCGCGAGGCAAGCTGTTCCACGGAGACCGTTGGGGGGGGGGGAGAGCGGGGGTCGGCCGCGGAGCTTGGGCGGGGTGCCCCGCGGAAGTGGGCCGGCTGCCGGCTGCGCGGCAGTGGCGGCCGGGGAGGGAAGGCGAGGGGCCCCGGGGAATGCAGGCACTCGGCGGCGAGCGCGGGGAGAGGGCCTTCTCAGAGGGCTGCGGGACCTTGCAGAGGCCCTCGCGCCCTCCGAGAAACGTGCTGCCCTGTCCTCGGGGAGGAGCCCGGGCAAAAACTTCTCAGAGGGCCGGGTGGCGTCCGAGCCCTCCGGGGAGGCTCGCCGCCGAGGCGGGGGCGCCACAGGCAGCACGGAAGGCCCACGGGCGCCAGAGGGCCTCTCTCCCCGCAGCCAGCGAGGGGCGCGGCGCGCCCGGGGGGGGGCGCTGCGGAGAGAGCCACGCCCGCGGGCGTCTGGAGGCTGCCGCTGCCGCCCCGGGCGGGCGAGGCGCGGGCAGACGCGCGCAGGGGCTAGGTCGGGCCTGTGTCCCCCCTGCAGGGGAAGGTTTTGTTCGGCGGGGGACAGATCTCCCTGTTCAGTAAACCTCCCCGCAGTGAAGACGGCCTGGAACCGAAACCTCCCCTTTGTGAAACCTCCCCTTAGCGAAAACCTCCCTTTTTAGTAAACCTCCCCTTAGTGAAAACGGCGGTGGACAGGCCTCCCAGGAAAGAGGGCCGCCCCCGGTCGTATACTATAGAAGAGATGTCCGAGCGCGCGCGTCGCCCCTGGGGAGGCGACGCACGCACTCCAGGAGAGAGTGTGTGTGTGTGCGTGCGTGCGTGCGTGTGCGTGTGTGTGTGTGTGTGCGTGCGTGTGCGTGTGCGTGCGTGCGTGCGTGCGTGCGTGCGTGCGTGCGTGCGTGCGTGCGTGCGTGTGCGTGTGCGTGTGCGTGTGCGTGTGCGTGTGCGTGTGCGTGTGCGTGTGCGTGTGCGTGTGCGTGTGCGTGTGCGTGTGCGTGTGCGTGTGCGTGTGCGTGTGCGTGTGCGTGTGCGTGTGCGTGTGCGTGTGCGTGTGCGTGTGCGTGTGCGTGTGCGTGTGCGTGTGCGTGTGCGTAAACTTCCCCTCAGTGAACCTCCCCAGGGAAAATTTTCGGCGGTGGACAGACCTCCCTTTAGTAAACCTTCCCTCAATGAACACGGCCCGGGGACGACACCGGCGGACCTGGGCCCGCAAAAACGACGGCCGCGAGGCCCTCTCGCGAACCGAGAACGACCAATTCCTCAATCGACGCGTCAAGGTAGGAGGTCTGTCCAACCCCCGAATTTTGGGCGAAAAATCGAACTAATAAAAAAATGATCAAAGGATGCCCAAAAGCATGCAACAAAAAAGTCCCGAGACTATTGTTTGACCATGTTTGAAGCTTCTCCCTGTGGCGGGACAGACTTAAGGCGAAGGGGGACGGCATCACAAATCTACCCACCGACCTTCGGGCCCGCCCCCGAGAACGAGCAAGAACACAAGGCCGCCCGATCACTGAAGCAGGAGGGCGCCTGAAGCCATACCGTGCAAGACGTGATGTTCGCCGATGCGACAGCCTGCCAACGCCCGACGAATACCCTGACGTCTCGATGTGTTCAGTGCGCAAGCCGATGCCTCGAACTGTTCCCAGTGCCGCTATTTGCTGTGCATGATCCCAGGGCCTGAAAACGGCCCCTGGAGACCAAACTCGAAGACGGAACCAAAACATACGTCACGACTTCGGAGGTACTGGTACGTGATTATTCCGCTCTCCCTGGGGCAACCAAAGGGTACAGATACCGCTACTCCCTTGACCTCTCCCGGAGGACGCTCTGACAAGTATTGCGAAGCGAATCCAGCGGTGGCGACGAGGGTCTCCCTGGAGGGTAAAAAAATGAAAACGGGGCAAGGGTAGCAGCATGGGTACCATCTCCTCCTCCGACTTCCAAGACGTCCGTCTTCACCCTCGCGTCCTCGCGAAACGTGCGCGCGTGCGACGACCTCCGCGACGCGCCTAGCGCTGTCGCACCCCTGCAGGGGGCTCCCCCCGGAAGCCATTCGGAGGCCTCCGAAAGCCCAGAAAGGGTTCCAAACACTGAAGGGGCTCAGGGACACGCAAATAAGCGCAACCGCACCCCAGGATTTCTCATATTTGTTCAACCATCCTGCTGTGTTGGGGCCTCGATTTGAAGAGACAGCGCCCCGCGGTTCCACTCCTGTCATCCTCCCGCCTTTCTCCTTCCATCCCTTGCCTCTGCCCTCCGCATCTCATCGTCGTCATATGGGCGCATGCAATTCCACCCCCCAATCCGGCGCACCCTTCACACGTTTCGTGGCCCCACAGGGTGCTCCGCCAGAAGCCCAAGTGGCAGGGTCTGTATACAATTCCACCCCCAATCACGCACCCCTCATACGCTTCGTGGCCCCGTAGGGTGCTCGACCAGAGGCCCCAGTGACAGGGTCCGAATGCAGTTCCACCACCAATCCGGCTCACCCCTCACACGTCTCGTGGCCCCATAGTGTGCTCCACCGAAAGCCCCAGTAGCAGGGTCCGCATGCAATTCCACCCACTATCCGGCGCACCCCTCACACGCTTCGTAGCCCCATAGGGTGCTCCGAAGGCCCCCGTGGCAGGGCCCGCATGCAGTTCCACTTCCATGCCGGCGCACAAATCACAGGATTCCTGCCCCCACAGTGGGCTCCACCGAAAGCCCCAGTGGCGGGGTCCGCATGCAATTCCACTTCCATGTCGGCGCAACCCTCACAAGTGTCGTGGCCCCATATGGTGCTCCGCCGAAGCCCCAACGGCGGGGTCCGCATGCAATTCCACCCTGCACAAGTTTCGTGGCCCCATAGTGGTCCACCGAAGACCCCAGTGGCAGGGCCCGCATGCACACGCTTCGCGGCCCCATAGGGTGCTCCGCCGAAGGCCCCAGTGGCGGGGTCCGCATGCAACACACCCTGAATCTGGCGCACCCCTCACAAGTTTCGTGGCCTCATAGAGTGGTCCACCGAAGGCCCCAGTGGAAGGGTCCAGTGGAAGGAGCACCACCACAGGTCCCAGTCGCACCGTTCGCGCGCGTCCCCGCCACCCATTTCGGCACACCCCTCAGACGTTTCGTGGCCCTAGGGGCCCCACTGAAGGTCCCAGTGGCTGCCGCATGCGTCCCCGCTCCCCATTTCAGCACACCCCTCACACATTTCGTGGCCCCGCAGGGTGCTCCACCGAAGGTCCTAGTGGCCTTGTTCGCATGCGTCCATGGCACCAATGTCGCCCCCCCCCCCCCACACTTGTTTCGTTGCCATATAGAGGGGGCTCCACCGAAGACGATGCTCACAACTGCGTTACTCACACCTGCGTCTGGTTGGCTTTTCCGCCAAGAAAAACTCCACATGTTCTGGATGTCCGTCTTCCCCTCCAGAGCGCAAAGGTTTCCATATCTCCTGGAGGCCGGTCATTCATGTGCTTGGCAGCGAGCGCGGGGGGGAAATGAAAATGGGCAGGCCTTCTCAGAAGGCTCGGAAGCCCCCAGGCCTTCTGAGAAGTTTTCTAAGCCTTCCCCGAAGACATAGAAAACTTCTCAGAAGGCGCGAGGGCTCAGAGAAGCCCGACCGCCTTCTGAGAAGGCCTTCTCCATCTCACTTCCCCCCTCGCTCGCCGCCGATGCCTGCCTGTGTCTACGTTCCCCTCCCGACGCACGCCTGAACACCTCGACCCTCGAACCTCGCTCCCTCGAGCCGCGCCCCGTGTGCGCCCTCGCCCTCCCAGGACCGTGCCAGTCTTCACCACCGCCTCCGCCCGCCCTTGCCGAGGTCACGCGCCGCAGGCATGGATACCGCCGAGGGCTGGCGACCGAGATCGGCTGAAGATGTCAGGACGCGACTACCGGGAGGCTCTCGTCGGAAAGGCTGAAGAGGATGAAGCCCCATGTGGGAGCTATTACGCCATAGTAAGCCTCGGATCCAGCGGGATTAAGACAGATTAAGCGGGATCAAGCGGGATTAGGCCGGATTGAGCGGGATTAAGCAGGACTTCGGACCAGTGCAAAATCAGAATTGACCTCCCAGGAGTTGCATCCCAAAAGACGGGCCTGGGGGACAAGCATGCAGAAACGAATGCGTTCACCCCTGGCACATCACTGCACCGAAGCCGTCCACGGCGGCAGCAAGGCCGACAACCGACAGCAGAACCAAAAACCGACCAACATCGGCAGGGCGCAGGCAGCCTAGACGGGCGCCGTGACGCGGCAAAGGCACCATAGCACAATCATCGACCGAACCGAACCGACCGAACGCATCCGCCTTCGACACAGCTGAACCGGCCGAACCGCGAACACTCTTTGCACACCTTCGTTGCAAACCTGACTCTTTTTGAGCAGGGACCGACCGTCCTGGCATCCCTACAATCATACCACGAAATGTTCTTAAAACCAGAAAATGTTGTAAGAACAAAAACAATGTTCTGAGACCATAAGGCCGATGTGATAAAACAAGGCAGACTCCGCCAGACACGTTCTAAGAACAGTTCGTGGAAACCACAACAGGTTCTTAGAACATTGTTCGGTGGGGCTTCGGGCGAGCCAGGTCACTTCGCCGCTGCTTGATCTTTGAGTCCTCCGCCCTCCCGAGACCACGTCCATCTTCACCTTCGTGTCCTGCGGCCTCACCTTGTACGGCGACTCCTGGCGGAGGCCGCTGGGGCGGCGGCCTCAGGCGCGGGCTGCGCCTGAGCGAGGAGGCAGAAGCAAGGGACCAGACAGCCATCGAGGAGGGAGAGGAGGAGGAGGAGGAGGAGGACTAGAACAAGCCACAGATGTACCAACGACGCTGCAATACACTCTCCCGTCGCGAGCTCCCTCGTCGTCAACCCCTGCACCGATTCTTGCCACTGCCCATGACACCCCACCCTGCAAAAAGACGATCGCACCGTGGGCCCGCAAATCAGGCGGGAACTCCATTTTGAATACGGCCCGACCTGAGACAGAGGAGCATCACTCAAGAACACGAGACCCTCCGCCGGCCAACATACCCGACACACGAAGAATGCCCTCCAACAGGATGCACGGGAAAGAAAAAACACACACACACACACACACGAAGACCGTGAGGAAACCTCCCCGAACCGACCTCGACCTTCTGCCTCGGTGCGACCGCACATGACTACCTACCAGACCACCCCAACCCAACCCGAAGACCCGAATTTCGGGTTGGGGGGTTTAAGGGTTCCACATGTGTTTTTTCGATGTTTCCCGACCCCCCCCCACTGGAAATCGAGGGTAAATCTGAGCCTTCGGGTTGGGTTGGGGTGGTTTGGTGGGTGGTGAGGACAAGAAGTCCCTCCAGCTGTGCCAGGCGGGGTCGCAGAATCTCGGGAAAGCCCCACGACAACCGCCCCGTGAGAAGGACCCGCCCTCCCTGCGACGGCCTGCCAGACCACCCCAACCCAACCCGAAGACCCGAAGCTCGGGTCCCCCGACGCCCTCCCCCCACTGGGAATGGAGGGCACGTTAGTGCCCTCGGGTTGGGTTTGGGGGGGGGGGGGGGGGGGTGATCCTCTCAAGGCAACTATCGGGTCGGGCGAAAGGGGGGGATAGCAAAAGGGGGGGGGTGAGAAGCAGCTCGTGTAGCTGATTTTCCCGGCGCCTCCCGGCGCCGGAGGCGCCTATGTATCGAGGAATGGGCCCCTCGGTGGGGCCGAAACCAGCTGCACGCAGCAAATTTCGTCCCCCCCCCTTTCCTAAACCCCCCCTTTCGTCCGGCCCGAAACTATTGCACCGTTTCAGACTTCTGGGCACAGCATCGAACGAGATCTGAGGCGAAGCCAGGGCGAGGATAAAAAAAATCGGCTGAGGATGAAGCCAGATTCTCAGCCTGCGATCTGGAAGATGTCTGGGCGCAGCGGCCTTCTCAAGAGTGTTCTGGAAAACTCTGAGAGTGCTCTGGAACGGCTGGAATACATGTGTCCTCGTCCTAACCCCGTCCAGCGAAATCTCGAGCGATAGCCCCATTGCAAGTTATTCAGGGCGATAGCGATAATAGCGGTTGGTTCGGGGTGGAGACGGCAAACACCAATGGGCACCTATGAATCATCGGGGCGGCTGCAGCGGTAACGCGCTCGCCTCCTTTACCTCCATCTCCCACAACACAGCGCTGTTGGTGTCGACCTTAGTTGACAAGAAGCAATACGATACGGACAAGATCTCAACTCTGCTGTGTTTTTTTCGCAGTTCAGCAAGGACGACGGCACACTGGGGATGCTGAGTGTCTGGCGCTGCACCACTCTTCTTAATCATCACATGACGACGCCTGATCGTCATCGGGTGAACCTCCCAACAACCTGGAGCGGAGCTTCATCTATGTTGCTCTGGTGCCCCAGCCTCCCCTCTTCCCAATGCACGTGACAGTGGTCTCCCTTCTGTTTTCCTGGGCCACGGCATGGTCCTGCGAACGAAGATGACGCAGCTTGTCTTCTACATCATCCACCTGCGTGTGGCGAAACCAACATGAACATACATTCCAAGGGGATCCGCGCGGATGTCTCGGGTCACTGCAGGACTTCCCTCATCTTGCAAGCGAAGTCCGCTAGAGGCGGCGTTGTGGGGGTCCAGCACCGATCACAGAAATCCGTCCAGACCTTCGACAAATAATGTGTATGGAAAATGTGTGGCTGTTCGATATGTCTGAAGGTCCCTGATTTGAACACGCCTGTCCACGGCACCCTTACGCGTCCGACCCATAGGAGCCACCGCTCATATGTATATATATATATATATATGTATATATATAGGTATAAATAAATAAATAAATAAATAAATAAATAACTAAATAAATAAATAAATAAATAAATAAAAAATAAAAGAATAAATAAATAAATAAATAAATAAATAAATAAATACATAAATAAATAAATAAATAAATGAATAAATAAAAAAATAAATACCTACAGACACAAGCAACTGCATATGTTTGTCCGAAGTCCACGTGGATTTCTTGGATCGGCGCTGAACCCTTCTCTGGCGCGCGGAGCGCGCCAAGAGCGCCAGAAACACCGCTAGGGGGGCCATCGCCGATCCAAATAATCCGTGCGGAGCTCCAAAAGTGTGTGCTTCCGCCATGTTCCCCTACCATCCTGTGGTGTTGGGTCCTCGTTTCGAGTCAGCAGCGCCCCGCGTTCAACCTCACTCCTCCTCCTCCTCCTCCTCCTCCTCCTCCTCCTCCTCCTCCTCCTTGTCCTCTCCTCCTCCTCCTCCTCCTCCTCCACCTCCTCCTCCTCCTCCTCCTCCTCCTCCCCCCCCATCCTGCGTCTGCCCTCCGCGGCGTCCGCCCGACTCATTTCGGCGCACTCCTGACACGCCTTCTTGGCCCAACTAAGAGCTCGAAAGTCCCAGCGGCAGCGCCCGCATGCGGTTCCACCCTAAGATTTCGGCGCAACCCTCACACGCTTCGTGTCCCATAGGGAGCTCCACCGAATGCCCCAGTGGCAGCGCCCGCATGCGGTTCCACCCTACGATTTCGGCGCAACCCTCGCACGCGCTTCGTGTCCCATAGGGAGCTCCACCGCTCCACACCCGCCCGCGTGCGGCTCCAACCTCTACCTCCAATTTCGAGACACCCCTCACACTCGAGCTTCGTGGCCACATGGGGAGCTCCACAGGCCCCCCATTTCGGCACACCCTTCACACTTTTCGTGGCCTCATAGGGAGCTCCACCGAATACTCGAATGGCAACAATTTGCGATTCCACCCTCCATTGGGGCACACTCCTCACACGTTCCGTGGCCCCCAAGGGAGCTCGACCGAAGGCCACAACGGTAATGCCCGCACGCGGTTCCCCTCCGCATTTCGGCAAACCCGTCACACGTTTCGTGACACCATAGGAAGCTCCGCCAAGGCCCCATCGGCAACGCCGCTTTCAGCCCCCCATTCTGGCACGCCACGCACACGCTTCGTTCCCCCATAAGGAGCTCCACCGAAGGCCCCAGCGGCAACGCCCGCATGCGTTTCAACCCCCCATGCCGGCATACCCACTCACATGTTTCGTGTCCCCATAGGGAGCTCTGCCGAATGTCCCACTGGCAGCATCCGCGTGCACTTCCAGCCCCTCCCAATTCAGCACGCCCCGCACACGCGTCGTGCCCCCATATGGGGCCCCACCGAAGACCCCAGCGGCAACGCCCGCGTGCGTTTCCACCCCCCATGTCGGCACACCCGGTCACAAGTTTCGTGGCCCCATGAAAAGCTCGAACGAACGCCCCAATGGCAGCACCCGCATGCGTTTTCGGCCCCCCATTTCGGCGCACCCATCACACGTTTCGTGGCCATATAGGAAACTTCACCAAAAGACGCTAGCAGCTTTCGCATGTGGCCGCGCCGCAGATTTCCGCGCAATCCTCACACGGTTTGTTGCCCCAAACGGAGCTCCACGGAAGGCCCCAATGGCAGTTTTTGCATGTGTCCGCGCCGCACTTGTCAGCGCACCCCTCAAGCGTTTCACGGCCCCACAGGAGGCCCCAGTGGCGACGTTCGCATGCGTCCCCACCGCACAGGTCGTATGGTTGGGCTTGTTGCCAAGGGAATTTGCCCAAAGACACACACACACATCAATCGAAACAAGTCCCAAAGCCTCCCATCTTCAAATATGCTCATGGTTTTCGTCTTCCCCCCATATTCCCACGTTTCCCATATATTCCTGGGAGTAGATGGTGAATTCTCCACCCGATAGGTTGGGGCCGCTAGATACGTTTCACATATGCGTGTGTATATATATATACATATATTTTTATAAAAACAAATTGTATACTGGAAAGGACCCAACCAGACGCAGACGAAACTATGAGTGCCGCAGTTGTGGGATCGTCGTCGGTGGAACTCCCTATGGCGCCACAAAACGTGTGACGGGCGTGCCGATTTGGGGGGGTGGGCGGGTGCTCGTGAGTTCGTGCCCCATTGTGGCCCTTGGTGGGGCTCCCAATGGGGCACGGCACGTGCAAAAGGTGTGCCGAAACGGGCGTGACGCTCACATGCGAACTGCGCCACTGGGAGTTTCGGTGGAGCTAGTTACGGCGCCACAAAACTTGTGAGTGGCGTGCCGATTTGGGGAGGTGGGCGGGTGCACGTAATTTCGTGCCCCATTGCGGCATTTGGTGGGGTTCCCAATGGGGCACGGCACGTGCAAGAGGTGTACTGGAACGGGTGCGACGCTCACGTGCGAACTGCGCCACTGGGAGTTTCGGTGGAGCTACCTACGGGGCCACGACACGTGCGAAGGGGTGTGCCGGAACGGGCGTGGCGCCCACATGCCCATTGCGCCACCGGGACCTTCGGCGGAACTCCCTTTGGGGTCACGAAGCGTGTTAGGGGTGTGCCGAAACGGGCCTGACGCCTGCATGCGAACTGCACCAGTGGGACCTGTGGTGGAATTACGTGTAGGGCCACGAAACTTGCGAAGGGTGTGCCGACAAGGGGCGTGGCGCCCACATGCGAACTGCCCCACTGGTACCTTTGATGGAACTCATTATGTGGCCACACAACGTGTGAGGGGTGCGCCGAAACGGGCGCAGCGCCCACTTCCGAACTGCGCCGCGGAAGCCTGGTGCTCCCTATGGGGCAACGAAGCGTGTGAGGGGTGTGCCGAAACGGGCGCGACGCCCAAATGCGAACTGCACCACTGGGACCTTCGGTGGAACTCCCTACGGGGCCACGACACGTGTTAGCGGTGTGCCGGAACGGGCGTGCCGCCCCACATGTTGGAAGCGGAAAACTCACACGAAACAATATGCTAAAAGAAACAAGCCGTTCGTAAAATGGTTTTGCTGTGCTGCGCGCCAACCGCTGCGGCGCGTCAACCGCTGCGGCGCGTCCAATTTGGCAATCCACGTCCTGCCCTCGCGCCCTGAATCTCCTGGCGAGGAGCATCTACAACTCGCTGAAAACATGTCCAAAGATCGACGCGACCCGATGCTACGCGACCTGATTACTCGAGCAAGTGCATCGCGGGGTGAACTGGCAAAGAAAACACGGGCCCCCCGCTCCCGACCGGGCGCGGGCCCCGCATGCCAAGGGCTTGACTAAGGCAGGCCGCGGACTCGTACTGAAACGAAGAAATAGATGTACTACAACGGCAGAGCGGTTTTACTAAAACGAAACAACGGCCTCGCGAAAGCGAGGAAATGGTTTTAGTAAAGGCGCGCCGCTCAATACATTCCGAATTCGTAAAACGTTTAACAAATTAGCCTGGCGAAGGACCCAACCATATGCAGTTGTGAATGCCGCAGTTGTGCTGGGTGGTGGCGGACGCATGCGGGCGGTGCCACTGGGACCTTCGGTGGAGCTCCCTATGGGGCCACGAAACGCTGTACTGGGTGGGTGAGACGCGGTCAGCAGCAAGGCTGTGCTGCGTGGTGGCGGACGCATGCGAGCGGTGCCACTGGGACCTTCGGTGGAGCTCCCTATGGGGCCACGAAACGCTGTACTGGGTGGGTGAAACGCAGGCAGGGAGCAAGGGCTGTGCAGGGTGGTGGCGGACGCATGCGGGCGGTGCCGCTGGGACCTTTGGTGGAGCTCCCTATAGGGCTACGAAGCGCTGTTCTGGGTGGGTGAAGCGCAGGGAACAAGGGCTGTGCTGGGTGGTGGCGGACGCAAGCGGGCAGTGCCACTGGGACCTTTGGTGGAGCCCCCCTATGGGGCCACGAAGCGTGCGAGGGGTGTGCCAGAATGGGGGGTGGAACCGCATGCCAGCGCAGCCACTGGGGCCTTCGGTGGTGCTCCCTATGGAGCCACGAAACGTGTGAGGGGTGTGCCGAAATGGGCGGCGGAACCGCATGCGAGCGCAGCCACTGCGGCGTTCGGTGGAGCTCCCTATGGGGCCACGAGACGTGTGAAAGGCGTGCCGAAAAAAAGGAGGGTGGAACCGCATGCGAGCGCAGCCACTGGGGCCTTCGGTGGAGCTCTCTATGGGGCCACGAACCGTGTGAGGGGTGTGCCGAAATGGGAGGGGGAACCACATGCGAGCGCAGCCACTGGGGCGTTCGGTGGAGCTCCCCATGGAGCCACCCACGAAGCGTGTGAGGGGTGTGCCGAAATGGGGGGTGGAACCGCATGCGGGCGCAGCCACTGGGGCCTTCGGTGGAGCTCCCTATGGGGCCACGAAACGTGTGAGGGGTGTG